TTACTCATGGTGGTTGCATGTTGCAGTAGCTCTGTTATATTCATTTTAAGATATTGCCTTTGGAAACTTTAATTCCTCTTTATCTGGATGTAAATCACATTTTTTGTGATGATTACTTCCTCTGGTATTGGACACTGTGCAGCAGGAAGGATTTTTACTGAAACTTTTTTATATTTGGACATTTGTTATCATGCATAACCATGTCAACACAGTGTTTTTTTTTTTTACAACTGGGAGCAGCTGATTAACATCTCAAAGCTCAAATAATATCTCAACTACAGCCCCAAATTTCAAATGAGTTGAAAAGGAGGCGCTGTGGATGCATTCCCATCTACCTGTCGACTGTGCTCGAGTGCCTGACCACTGAGATCCTGGAACTAGCAGGAAACATGGCTCGGGACAGCAGAAGGACTGGATCACCACCTGCAGCTGGCTGTCCGCAGCGATGAGGAGCTCAGCAGGCTGCTGGGAGGAGTGGCCATCACTCTGGGAGGAGTTCATTCCAACATTCTGGCGGTTCTGCAGCCTGGGGAACCAGAGGCCAGCCAAATCTGGGTGGAGGGCTCGGACAGCATCTGCGTCCAATTTCTTCGGCTCCACTGTGGGACGGACCTTTACAAAAGATCCTTCCTGCCTACAGCCATCAGTATCTATAACATCTCAATGAAACAAGGATAACGATTTACAACATGTAATTTCCCTTTGGGATTAATAAAATATTTTTGAATTGAATTTAGATGCATTTTAATTCTATAATGCCCCATAAACACAGGTCTACAAGGCTGTGGACAGTGTGAAAACACAGCATGACTGTACTGTCCAGAATGTAGTGTGTATGTGTGTGTGTGTGTGTGTGTGTGTGTGGTAACTGATCACTGGAGGGTGAAACACTAATTAAAGTGACACCAGAAAAGCCTTTACTGTATTTGTAATGAATGCAATTTAAAATTTTCTTGCAATCTAAAGTTTTTATCCATTTATTTTAAATATAGAGCATGGCATTTTTTTTTAAATCATGTTATTTTCTCTCTCTCTCTCTCTCTCTCTCTCTCTCTCTCTCTCTCTCTCT